ACAGCAAAACACAGCCGATTAAAAAAGTTGAAAAAGTTGGAAGTCAATGGTTTTACGAATATTAATAAACTTCAAAAAAAACGTTTTAGACAACTTTGATCCTACTAATAACAGAATAATAATAATATCATGCGAATGAAATGAAGCGTGTAGTTGCACAATCGAAGACAGAATTAACGACAAATATGAAAGGATTAATAGAATTAAAGTTTTAGTCATATAAAAAAAAATTATTGTCATAAAATTCAAAAGGATTAGAAGAGAAAAATAAAATAGAATGGTCCAACAGAGCCTAAGATATTATAGTCAAATACATTCATATATAACTAAATTATAATGATTAGTTGATCGACCGACTCCGCCTTGAGCTCTTCTGGCGTTAATGCCGGTCGTCCAAAGCACGAACAAAGAAGGAGGGTTTGGCATATTATGCTTAGAGACCCCATCCTGTAGAAATCCAACTCGCTAAAAAATACAGCTAACCAGAGAGAATAATTCGCTGGTCTATGGCCTATGTTCTCTTAGGTGTAACGAGCTATGTTTTGTGGTGTAGGAGTAGGTTGGAAGAAAGCTAGGGGCGGACAAACCAAAACATGGCAGAAATCCATGAAGTCACTGACTAGTGGACTGAGTCATGTTGGTAGATGTAGACTACCTGGTTGGGGTCCGCGAGACGAAAGTCACCAATGGTTAGAGACCTTGAACGACATGGCTCAGAATCGTTTGCAATGGCACAAGTGCATCCATTCGTTGTGCTCTCTCAAATCCTAATCTTCTGGATTCGTCAACACCTCTACCTTTGTCTTTCTAACCTTATTTCACTGAATTATACTTCTTGAATAATATATTCGAACCCTAGTCTTCTTCATTACGATTAATACCTCTATTATCTTTATCACTATGGGATTTGATTTGACATCTGCGTCTTTGTGCTAATGTGGTATGGCAACATGAACTTATGTACATATGTACGTAGTTCTACGTTGCAACTTACTTACTTACCATTAGGGGTAAGTAAGTTTGTCAATTAATAATTGCAATTTTCTTGAAATAAACCTACTTCAATCTCTATCGCTGTTTCTAGTGTAGATAAATAACAGTATAAATAATCATGATTCCTATATAGTTCCTCTATCAGTTTTTATACAAAAAAATTACAATGTTATCACACCATTTGTTTGAATTAATTAACTTAATATGCTCAAGTAAATAGCTAAATCTTGAGATTATTTCGATTTTTCTGGTAACATTAACTTTTCCCTCAGTCCTGATTCCTTCATATTTACAATTGAAATTTTTGTTCAGGTTTTGACTGACGTTATTTGAGCGTTCCTAGTTCTGCAAAACTTTCGGCATGGATATGCTTCAAGTTTATCCGACACATAGCTTACTGCAACAGGTTCTCATTATTCTAAATGGTTATCTTACACAGTATTTCATGATGTATTTAAAGGTTTGTATGTATGTATGGCGATATTCAAGTTATTAATGCAGACCAGGACAGAGTAGATTGGAAAATACTGGTCGGTGGCCTATGCTCCATTGGGGGTAACAGGTGTAAGTAAGTAAGTAAGTAAAACTTTTCATAAGATCCTAAAAACTGAACAGACAGCGTTGTTCCGAATTGTCATCTAACTACCAACCTCTCGTTTCTTGTCAGTACTGAATTCTGTCAAACACTGTTTTTATCGATTCCCGACCCATCTGCTTTCATCTAGGCTTAGGATGTTTATAAAATTAAGTTGTTACTTTTCATATGATGAAAATCAAAATGAGCATTGAGAAATACAGTTTGAAAAAGAGACAGATGGAAGGATAAACATTTAATGAGATAAGATATAGATGATACTTCTTTCCTGTCGTTGATTTTAAGCCCCATTATTTAACATCTACAATCACTAATCTTGAATATTACCTGAGGCTTAACTAGCTCTCTCTATACGGTTGAACTCGTGTTCGGGCTGGACGCATTTTTCTGGGTGCACAGAACAAAATATATTAGTGTAGGTTTTACTAATTTGATTATATGATAAATCACTTAGGCAGTAAATTCGACATAGATTATCCAAGAAATTTAAAACAAGGTAAAGATAACAGTCTGTAAATGATTTACAATTCATTAGAATGAACTATTATCCAGCCACCATAGAAAATTTCATGGACATAAAGTGTCAATTTGCAGAATCGATAGATCAGTGCTACTATTTTAAAAAACTACGAAAATATCATTTTACATATATAAATACAACAACATTATCAAAGATTTTATATTACTACAAAGTAACTAAATCTTGCGTACAATAATAACAGTTGTGAGATTCAGTTCATGACAAATATATCCATTGATTAGTGAAAAATACACAAATAACAAAAAAAACAATAATGGTTGACTTACGCGCTTTGTAGAATTTTCTTTGCTGATTTCTTGACTAGCACCTTTATGAATAGTCCATTGTGAATCAGAACAACCTTCTACACTGATAGATGGAATGGAGTGCCTTAAAGAGACAGGAAGTGTTTTACAACTGGGAAACAAGTATTCACGTGAATTATTACTGGTATTCTGATTACTATTACTGTTATAATATCCTACAGCTTGTCGTGTAATTAAAGCTATTCTTGATCCACAACGGCTCATTACCGGTAGATAATTGGTAGGACATGTATGAATAGGACATATTGATCGATCAAACCTTAAAATTCTTAACCTTTCTAATGTGTCGGAATTGAAAATAGTCAGCCATAAAGTGGTGCAACCAGGCAGTGTAGGAGCCAACATTGGGGATGTAATATTATTCTTGGAGTTGTAACGTGGATTTAATTCAGTACATTGTGTCGAACCCATGGTTTTTTGCTGCGTTCGACTACTTTCAGTTGCGCTGTTTGTTGATCGACTTGAACTTAAAGGATTGTAAATATCATCAGCGTAACCGGATACATCTGATGATAATGAATTCATAGAATGATTATTGTTACTAATGATAGAACATCGACATGTTCTAGACTCTGTTGTGATTGTAAATAAAAAATAACCATCTCTTGAATAAAATATGCTCATAATATGTGGAAAGGCATGGTTGAATGAATTAGGACTAGGAAAACCTCCTATATGATTAGCATCCGATGATCGTCTTCGTCTTGTCGGCTCTCTACATGTAGCATTATTTATTAAAGGCGATCCATGACGATTTGAGGGTGACCATGAACAAAGTTTGTTAGTTGATGTCAAACACTCCCATGTTGGTAGTTTTACCAAACTTATGGTGGCTTGTATTCCTGGGACCCAATTGGAAGACAATTTATGAGAGTTAAGTCCATGTGGAAAGTCTACATTCGTTATTGCTATGCGTGAATTCACAAATCGTGGATCGAAAGCAAACAACACTTGAGAAGAACGAGCTGGACCTAGTTGTAGTTGATTCTCATTTTGTACATTCCCTTTGAAGTCCGTAGTTACTGAGCTAGATGATAAAACATCGTATGAAGATCGAATATTTGACTCTCTATTATGTTCTTGATATGGGGCCAATGGCAGACGGGAACTATTCGATGATAAGTCATCGTAATTCGAAGAATTAGCTAATGGAAGTTCAGAGATAAGTTCACTATTTCTTAAGTTGTACAGCTGAAATGTAAGTAAAAAAGAAACAAATTGAAAATAAAATAAACAACTGTAGTATTAATGTAATCATTATATTACAATGGATCGTAGCTAACTACTATTACTATGACCATATTACTCAGAGAGATAAAGAATGACATACAAAAATTGAAAAATCTATAACGATCCGAATTTTTACAAGACAACATATGAAGAGGGAACGTCAACAGATGTGAAACAAACTATTTAAAGATAAAAATGAAGTGTTTAATGAGCCGATGATATTAAACAATCAGTTGTTCGAACGTAAAATATAAAAGGTTCTGAGTTAATATTTTCAAATTAGACAACACAAACTTTTATTATCTCTCATGGATCACAGTAAATTTTTAATGATATTTCTTAGAAATTTCAAATAAACAGTAGATGATTTCATATACCATAATCACATTTTAGTTTTAATAATATATAGTCGTTATTCTCACTTTTATTGTACGTTGATCTGAAAAGAAATTCAACATTATGTAATATCCAGTCACCACAAATTCATAACTTCATAATTTGGACTACCATTGTTACTCAAAACTACAACTAAACAATGCTTATTAAGCTTTCGTTCTGGTGTGAATATCAACCATCTGTTTGAGTAGGTTACTTGATACTTTTATCTTGAACTCAGTCAGTCAGTCAGATGCAACGTAGAGCTTCGTACGTTAGTATATCAGTTCATGTCGCCATACCACATCAGCACAGAGATGTAATTGTCAATTCAAATCCAATAGTAGAAGAGGTAGTAAAGGTATTAGAAGTAATCGGAGAGGTTAGGATTAGAAGATATTATTCAAGAAGTATGATTAAATGAGAAACGTTTAGAAAATCAAAACTAGAGGTGTTGAAGAATCCAGAAGATTAGCATTTGAGAGAACACAAAGAATAAATGCACCGGCGCCATTGCGAACGATTTTGAGCCATGTCATTCAAGGTCTCTAACCATCGATTATTATCATCTCGTGGACCCCAGCCAGGTAGTCGACAACTACCGACATGGCTAAGTCCACTCGTCAATGACTATGAATTTCTGCCATGTTTTGGTTTGGCCGCCCCTAACTTTCTTCCAACCTACTCCTACACTACAAAACAAAGCTCTTCGAGGCAGTCGGTGGTTAGGCATACACAACACATGTCGCAACCACCTCAACTGATGAAGTTTCATAACTTCATCGATTGATCTGCCATTCTTACATAGCGCCCGATTCCTAATAACAGCGTTGTTCACTCGGGTGTCCCACGATATACGAGCAATGCTTCGAAGACACCTATGATTGAAAACCAGTAACCTACGAATATCTTCTACTCTCACCGGTCTTGTTTCACAGCCATAAACTAAGATGGAGCGAACTACTGCGCAGTACACTCGTCCTTCGATTAGAGAACGGATATCACGCCTACGCCATAAGTGACGCAGGTTCGCAAAAGCCAATCGAGCCTTCTGTAGCCGAGCTGAGATTTCGTCAGTCACCAGGCCATCGGCACTGATGAGACTCCCAAGATAAGTGAAGCGGTCTACACGTTCGACTACTTCACTCCCTATCACTAGTCCAGGTGCCGATGCAACCCAGTCTTGAAGCAACATTTTGCATTTCGAGGGGGAAAACCGCATCCCGAACATGCTTGCATTGTTGCTTAGGGTAGTCAGAAGACTCTGCATTCTGTCAGCGTCTTCACCAAGTAGGACTATGTCATCGGCATATTCTGAGCTACCTGGTTAAAGGCCTACTCCTGAAAATTATCTTGAACTATGAAATTATTACTCATGATGCGATCGTTAGGTTAACTGCTTACTTACTTATGCCTAATGGAATATAGGCTACTGACCAGTGGATTACTTTTTCTGGTGAGCGCTTTTTAACAAGTTGGATTTCTATGGGATGGGGTTGCTCACCCCGTGCCTAACCCTCCTCCATGTCCGTGCTTGGGACCGGCAGTAACCCCAAAAGGGCTCCAGTAGAAGTGTCTCCTTGTTTGAGAATAAATTTTTCACCTTTTACTAAAGACTTCCATGGAGCGGCACAATACGAAGAGTTTTATCTCCATTGTTAGCTATACAGCACAAACTGTGTCATAACACATCAATAAAAAATAATTCAAACCATTTAAACTCTGCTCTAGGAGTTAGAAGGTCTTTATTTAGAACAGTTATGACTTCTCATGATGAAAACTGAGTTCCTTCGGAAGTCACGAGGCCGGTGCCGCTTATGACAACCAGAGCCCTTCCACCGTGTGGGTAGACAAGAAGTAACATCCGCCCTCATACCCATAAAAGCACACAAGACCAAATCGGTCACAATCAAATCCTTTCTATACCTCCTCGTAACTATCTTATCTACACGACCAACCCTTTTTCGATCGTTTGTGATCCGGCGCCGCTGAAGCAAACTGTTTGAACTCACGGAACGTTATTCCTGGTTTCCTGAAACCCCACTCTAAACTACATATTGGAGCTTTCAATGTTCGAATCTTGTGCTATAAAGGTCAACAGGCTTCACTACCTATAACTCTGGAATCTCGTGCGATTGACGTATGTTTCGTCTCCAAAACGCGCATACAAGATTCGAGTAAAATAATCGATTCGATTTCACCTAGTGCAGATACAGAAACAACACGGTTTACGCTTCCTATTTCTGTAAGCCCTGATGCTGCTTCCCATGGCCTAGCTAGTGTTGGTATAGGATTAAGTCCTAGTGCAGAACTAGCTCTTTTAGACTGGATCCCGGTAGACAGTAGCTTATGCGCTGTCCGGGGCGGTACGGACTCAGAAAGAAAGGGACACTTGTCGTTGCCTCTTCGTCGTATCTGCCTACGCTCCCACCAACTGAAGTTCAGACGAGGTGTAAGATGAGTTCTAGAGAAAGATTTCGAACCTCCTCCAAATATTTAGGCAATATGATATAGAAATAATGGCTGGTGACTTTAAAGCTCAAGTGGGTAGACTCAGTGAAAAGGAAATACAACTGGGTGGATGTTATGGTGTGGCGGCTAATCGAACAGATAATGGCGACTGTCTGCTGCAGCTATGCTCAGATAATCGCATACTTCTAGAAAACACTAACTTTAACCATAAGGAAAAACATCTCCTGACCTGGTGACCCCCCCCCAAGCCGACTCAACGACGGATCCAACAAGATCATATCGCTATCAGCCATCGGTGAAGAGGCTCCGATGAGGTAGTAGGTTGGAAGAAACCTAGGGGCGACCAAACCAAAACATGTCACAAATCCATGAAGTCATTTACAACTAGACTGAGTCATGTTGATAAGTGTAGACTACCTGGTTGGTGGAGTCCGCGGGGAGACGACGTGGGAGACGGTCACCGGGCGGCTGATGGAGTTCGACAGCCCAGTGGACAGGGAGAAGGCGCTGCAGGAGTTCCGGTTGGCGAGGCTGTCGGTTGATGGTGACCCGTTGGTGCTTCCTGTAGAGCTCACCAGATTGTTGCGCCGTGCTCTCCCGAATATCAATGAGGAGTCAGAGGCACAGTTGTTGACGTCGCAATTAATCAAGAGTGTGCCTGCCGCCTTGTCCCAGCAGCTGAGACTAGTAAACGCAGCGCGACCTATGGATATCGGTGAACTGGCGAAGGTGACTCGTCAGCTGATGACACGAACAGTAGCTCCGGTCGGGTGCGGAAAGCAGGAGATAAATACTGTTGAGAAGAAGATTGAGGAGCTGGAGCGTAAGGTTGCAGCATTACGAGTGGATCATAAAGGGAACGATAAGTGTTACGCTTGTGGAGGGGCAGGGCATTGAAAGATAAACTGTCCAAGAAGACGACGACGATATTTCAGACATAACGTGTGTTCTTTTCGCCCTAGGAATCTGGAGGTTCTTGCACTAGTAGATAGAGGGGCAGTTTATGCCAGAGTTTACATAAATGAACAGGAGTTAGTGTGTTTGATCGATACAGGGGCAGCTATATCGTTAATAGGCAAAGAGCAATGTAAGACAATCAAACCATGTACATTATCGGTCCACACCATAGGATGGCACATGCTAGAGGTGTTGGGGGTCTCTGACAGTATCGTAAAAATGAGTGGAGCCGAGATAAATTTTCCGTTCGTGGTAACCACAAGCTTATCGAGACCGATATTAGGAGCAGATTTTCTAAGAGAGGTAAAAGCGATAATTGACTTGAGAAGCGGTAAAATGGTCACAAATTATGGTTCATTTTCAATACACGAAAGGAGCGAAGTGGCTGAAATAATAGTGACAACGGACGTCTCGACCAAGAAACCAAACATTAACGAGTTATGCTCAAAGTATGCGAAACTGTTCACTGGAGATGGGGAGCCGTATGGATTTTGTGACAAAGTAAAGCATGAAATTCCTATAAAGAACGACCGAGTAAATATATTTGTAACACGTCGTGTCCCGGTGCATTTAGAGGCCTAGGTAAATCGACAGGTCCAGGAAATGTTGAAGGAAGGTATAATTGAGGAAGCAGACAGCCCGTATAGCTTACCGGTACTCTTGGTAAAGAAACCCAATGGAAAGTATAGATTTTGCGTCGACTTTAGAGAACTGAATAATATAACAGACCTGAAACCATGCGCAATGCGAACAGTAGTAGAAACATTAGATCGGCTACAGAATGCCACGGTGTTTACAGCGCTGGATTTACGGTCAGGTTATAGGCAACTACCTATAAAAGATAGTGATCGCAACAAGACAGCATTTACTATACGGGATAAACAGTATCAATTTAAACGAATGCCGTTCGGGTTGGCGGGTGCACCGTTCACGTTCAGAAGATTGATGACGCTGCTGCTTAAGAATCTAGATAATGTTGAGGTATATGGCGACGATGTAGTTGTATACAGCCTGACGGAAACAGATCACTTCAAGAATGTTGAAGCAGTCCTAAAGCGAATTGACGAATTTGGGCTTTGAATTAATAAGGAAAAGTCGCAGATAGCGAAAAACAGCGTCATATTGTTGGGACATAGAGTGGGAAATGGAGAAATAAAGCCATTACCAGAGAAAATTCTTACCATAAAAAATATTGCAGTACCTAATTCGAAAAGGAAGTTGAGACAGTTTCTGGGAAGAGCGGCGTTCTATAGTCGGTTTGTCAAGAATTTCAACAAAATAGCAGCGCCCTTATATAAGTTGCTGAGCAACACCAAGTTTACATGGACTGAGGCTGCCGAACAAACGTTCAGCCGAATCAAAAACATGCTAGACGATCGTCAGATGACGCTGCGACTGCCTGAACCCGGAAAACTGTTTACAGTGGCCACAGATGCAAGTGATCATGGTATAGGTGCGGTATTGAGTCAGGCTGATAGAGTGGTGGAATACGCAAGTCGCATTCTCACACCCGCCGAGCAGAAGTATTCAACGATCGAACAGGAGTGCCTAGCAATCGTGTGGGCAGTAGAAAAATGGAGACCGTACCTTTTAGGTAGACGATTTCACATTGAGACGGACCATAAACCCCTGCAGTGGTTGAGAACAGCAAGAGACCCCCAAGGGAAGTTGGGGCGGTGGATGATATGTCTGTAAGAATACGACTTCAGTATCGGCCATGTTCCAGGAAAGGAAAACGTAATGGCAGATTACTTGTCAAGATCAGACATGGAAGGTGACCTTCCAGTGACAGCATACGCGGTGAGTAGTTTAGAGGGAGACCCATTAGAACTCATCCGGCAACAGAAAGCTGACCCGAACCTTCGAGAGGTAATCAGAGTGATAAGAGAAGGAGCAGACGTAGACAAACGAACGACCGACAAGGAGATAATAATGTTACTTCGGCAAAAGGAACGACTGAGAGTGAACGCATATGGATTCCTGACCTGGCAGGACGATGACAAGAATTGGGTGGCTGTAATCCCAAAAGACCGGCGGCGTAAGATGATACACGAGTGTCACCAGGTAGCACATACAGGCATCGCAAGAACGACGGATTTATAACAAAAAAGTGCATACTGGCCGGGCATGAGAGACGATGTGGCTTAATACGTGTTAACTTGCCAGCAGTGTCAACTAATGAAGAGCGATAGATACACACAACCGCCGTTACAGTCGATCCCAGTAACCGCAGTCGGTGATCTATGGTCGGTGGATATAATGGGACCGTTTCCACAGACGGCGACCGGTAACCGGTACCTGCTAGTGATGACGGAGCATGCTACACGTTGGATAGATGCCGTACCCATTGCAGACCAGCGGGCAAGAACAGTGACCGAAGTGGTGATCCGGCATATTGTAGCGTGCCACGGAATACCGAAAATGATATTAACTGACCAGGGTCCCTGTTTTGAAAGTGACGAGTTTAAAGACCGTTTAAAACAGTTTGGCATCAAGAGGATACGAACTACACCGTATCATCCTCAGACAAACAGGCTTACAGAGAGAAATAACCGGACGTTAAAGGAATGGTTAGCATCTAAAGGAGGAGATTGGGAGAAAGAGTTACCATTGATTTTGCTGGCGCATCGTTCCTCCATACAAGGAACAACCAAGAAATCACCCGCCTCGCTCATGTATGGCAGAAAACCGCGACTTCCATTACACAATAAGACATGGCCACAACAACAAAAATCGACAACAACAAGGTTAAGGAAAGAAAGGCGGGAGGCAATCAGGAACGTGGGAAAGAAGCAAATATCAGACATAAAGAAGGCGGAACAACAGAGGAGAACGTGGAAACCTTTTGCAGTGGGGGACCTAGTAAAGTGTAGAGAACAAAAAAGTAGCATAGCAGGGGTATCAGGGTGGGGAAAACTGATCCCAAAGTGGGACGGACCATACGTTATCACGGAGAGACGCGGCGCGGTGTACACGATCCGGAGAGAAGACAAGCATAAGCGTGTAAATGCCAGTCAACTGCAGAGGTGGTTTCAAGATTATCAGGTGTGTCAGTCACGGAAAGCACCAAAGAAGACAGCGATATGGCGATCAGAAAGACTACGACGACAGCTTATTAAAAGGGGGTACGAGTGTGGTGTGCGTTACTTATAAGTAGTATATGACGCGAGTGAAAACGTAATGTCTGGCAGCAGAAGATGGGGGAAGATGAAGAGAGGAAGAGTTAGAAAACAATGGAATCTGTATGAAACGCATGAATAGTGAAATGTCAGACAATCGATTGATGATGGATTGAAGATTTGCAAATTAACCGTTTACGATATGGTTTTCTTATTTTACTGAGTAACTCTGTAATTTGTGATAAATAAAATTTGGTTGCCCTCACCTGTGTTCTCCTTCACTACACTACCACTTCTACTACTATGGGATTTGAATTGACAACTCGATATCTCTGTGCTAATGTGGTATGGCGACTTGAACTGATATACGCACGTGCGAAGTTCTATGTTGTAAGTGACTGAGTGACTTATAACTAAAATAGAAAAGAAACTTCGGTCTATAAAAGAATCCTGTGTTTATTTTCTGTTACTAATTAAGTATTGACTAAGCAATCTATATAATCGCCAGTATATGAATGCTCTCGTAAGTTTCGACTTCCCCGTTTGAAAATAGAGATGCCAATAAATTCTCACTTCTTATCAAAAATATACACTTATATTTGTCAAAATGTCAGTGTTAAAAGCTTATCTTTATTGTGTTCTGTGAGACAACAATGAGAAGCCAATTTAAATTATCCAGAAAATATAAAATAGAAAGAATTGCGGATCAAAATGAACCTTACTCAATCAAAAAAACTACAAAGATAAAAAAAATTCAAATGATCGCATACCTTGAGTATATAAACTCTCCTATTTCTCGACCAAGGGAGTCTAATCAGACAGTAAGTTCCATCCGGTGATATTTTTCCTATAGTTGATTCAGGACTAAAGAGAACCGTTTGCCGACCAAAAGAGCCAAGAAATTTATTAATCCGCAAGTCGACTAATGCAAACTGAGTTATCATATCGCGTGCTAAATGAACAACTGCTAATCCACTGTGAATGTCCAACACTGATTTGAAGTGCAAGTTCTAAAAGTAGTTATCAACTTGATTTCAATTACCTGTATAGATGATAAATGAGCAGGAATGTGATTATATTCAAAATGCTCAGCCATTTTTGTATATTCTCTGCGCTTTCTCAGTGAGAAAACAGAACAAGATTTTCGGAAGTTCACTATATTTTGCCTAGTAAGGCAAAATGCCGACGAGCAATCATGTGGAACTTGATAAGTACACACCATCACCTTATCTGAAAAGTTGAAAAGCTCTAAAAATGCCGTATAAGGAAAATGTAATTCATGATACCTCGGTGAGATTTTCTCCATAGTTCTAGAGTGCATTGGTGAATTATTCTTCCAGGTGAGACAGGTGCGAAGAGACACAAATTAGGTGTATTACAGTTAGCTTTACTTGTTTGACCAATTTTACTTTCTTCAAGACCCATCACAAGTGATAGCTCATGGTGTATGTGAAATAGAGCGCGAACAGTTTAGCTAAATGAATCATACTGACCTTACAAAGCAGTATGGAAAGTACGACTTCCAATGACAATACGCAGTCCAACATAAGGTTGACGAGCTTACAAAATAATTGAGCATTAAAGATTAAACATTAAAAGTTTATGTAATAAACTAACAAGTCAATAAGTTCTTTGGTGTTTTCAATATCCAATATTCGTTTTACGATTTCTTTGCGCTCGATTCTTGTTCTTTCGTTACGGTTCCAGGTATTTGGCGGTATCCAATGGATGGGAGTCTATCCACTCGGCTGTTTACTTCAAGTCAGTTAGAAGTTGTTAGTGAGTTTATATGTCCCGTCATTTGAATGAAACGTTTGTTCCAGGGCTGTAGGTTTTCTGGATACCATTAGCTGTCACATTAACAGGCCGGAGATCAGTTAGTTGCAGTGTGCAGAATAATAGGGGGAAAATTCCAATGATAATAAGAAGATCTCAGAACTTAGTAAATAAATATGTATTCTACTTTATTAGTTGGTAGCGAATATTATTCGAGAGAACCGGAGTGTAAGTAAGGGAGAGGAAACAGAGATAATAAGTGAGATAGATTAAGTTAGCGATCTGAGGAGATAGCAACAGTAACAACCAGTAGGTCTCAAGACGTGCATCAGGCACAGCTTGTCCACTAGGATGACGCACCTAACTCGTGTTCCTATTTTGTATTTCTTCTATTTCCGGGTGTGTGGTGTGACTGAGGTACATTGCTAAGGACAGCATTTTGAACGATGTTTCTCACTATTTTCCAGTGACCATCTACTGTCAGCCTCCGCCATTCCCATGGCCATGGATCATGTAGAAGATTCTTTCTCATGTGAGCGTAATTCGCCCTAGTATATAGAAGGTGGTGCTCATTTTCGTCCTGCCTAAGTGTTTCCTTTATGAACATGTGAAATGAGACTGTGCCATGGTCACTACTTCCCATCGGTGTATGAACATGAAAATTCCCGACCAGGAGCTGATAATTTGTTAACAAATAATCCAGGTTTGAGGACTTCCCTTCCTTAGTCCATCTGTGGTGAACTAGAACACAGGTGGGGCAACCGGATTCTATGTAACGAAAATTACAGAGTTACTCATTAAAATCGGAAAACCATATCGTAAATCGTTAATCAGTCGGTCCAGAGCCTCTAATGTCTGCGGCAAGTCATCTTTGAAACCAAACATAGGGAGTTGTACACTGATTGCTGAGATTTATAGGTGGAGTGTTGAAATCTTCAGCTAAGAGTATATAATCAAACCCAAGGAATGGCAGTTGCAGTATTGCCTCAGTCAATTTATCTTTCTCGGCCTTAGCATCTGAGGAAAGCCGGTAAATCCCTCGAATCAAGTATTTCTTGCCATTTGTGTGGAGACAACACCAACATGATCCTTTCACCTCGGTTATTTGGGTGTCGAGTCTTTTAAATGGCAGTTTATGTATATAACCACTCAGCCTCCTGTTCGGTGTACCCATATTTCTTCAGAAGAGTGTCATGCCTTGTGAGCTCACTTCATCGTCCACAACGTCAGGAGATAGCCATGTTTCAGTTAAAATTATGATCTTCAGATCCATCTGAGAGCACATATTCATGCAAAATAAATGATGCTACTCATGGTATCTCGTCTCCTTATCTGCATTCCTTCTTAAAATACCACTACTTTAGTTCGGATCAAGCTTCCCGAATCATGGATAATAATTACTATCTGGTTCTTAAGCTGAAAATTTAGTTCGGCATGGGCGATAGTCTATATGTTTGGGTTTCAACATTCAGTATTCCCTCCATGAACTAGTATAAGCGGATTGCTTTCGTCGTGCTCATTTCTTTCTTTTTCGGGCAACATTTAGGGTTTTTGGTGTTGTACAATGGCTAATAGCTTAGAGACTCGGGTGCAGTAGTTCTAGTCATTTCAGTGAGTACCTATGAGTTTATCTTGTAACGTGAACGAGTGCATTCGTCTCAGGCCAGTAGCGTTTCTAGATACTAACAGCCATCACATTACCAGAGAGAGGGAGTGTTGTTTTCAGTGTGAACAACACTAGTAGGAAATGCTCATGCGAAGTGACGACAATTTCAAGAACTAAACACATAAGTAAGTCAACCAGTTGATGGTGCAGACAGTGTGAGCGGGTCGGACTGTTGAAAGTGGAAGCCAAAACGATAACAACTAAGAGGTAATAAGCTGTCCAAATGAAGTCACAATAACACCAAACAAGTTATCAGCCACGCGTCAGGCACAGCTAAGAGAGCGTTCTACATGGAAACAACTCTAAGTGAGAAACAGTGGGGATGTGTCTCGGTTTGTTGCGGGAGAAATGAAGACATTTTGCTGATCAAACCTTTATACATAAATATCATTAATTTCACTGTGTTTTTTGGGTACATTTGTTTTACTTAACTTATGAACTTGTTTGAATTATTATTTTCTGCCATTTTGGACTCCCGTTTCTCTTGGTTGTTCGTTTGCAGTTTTTTGCTCCAAGAACCTTTAAAATAGAAGGTAATTGTAATTATTATAATTATTGTTGTTAGAACGACATTGGTCGTCTATTTGTAATAACATATTTTGGTCGATTTTGTGATTTGGAATAAACTTTGGTATCTACTTTGGAGTTTCGTTCTTATTCAATATTTGGGGATCGTGAATTGCAAGTAGAACGACAACCGTGCTTCTAAAGATCAACGAGCAAGAAACTGGACGTAACAGGTTTTCGCCTTTTGATTTGCAGTTTTTAGCCTAACTCGATGGGTGGGTGGTGGTTTCTGGCAGGATGTTTGCTTGGAAGTGACTCAATGTATCTAATATGTCCTATGTTAGCTTTTACACAGGCAGCATGGTTTTGCCGGGGTACGATTCGTTCCAAGCAGCGCGCAGTCTTGTCCTACTGTCCTTTATCAAAAACTTTGTTCAAACTAAAAAACTCCATTTAGTGGTGAAATTTTAATTTCGCTTCTTCTGGGTCAATCAATATGACAGCAGTGAAAAACTAATCTTCAGTTCCTTGCGTATCCTACTTGAGAGCCAACTCAGAATAAACAAACCGCTCCCAATACTGGAGTTTCGTTTCTTGGTTGCAAACTCCTCTGCAAAGTTCAGCGTCTCTGTAATAATTCAAACAATACATGCTTAGGAAGGTTACCAATGTAAATTAACGACAGAAAATGTCTTTATTTTTAACCCCAAGATACCCAATCAGGACATTCTGTAGCCTGAGAAGAAGTAGCCTTAAGAAGTCCATTATTAATATTTGAACTAAACCAGTCTATTACCAGTGACTTGACACCCAATAGATTGAGCTTATTAATGGGATGGGTATGATCAACATTAAAAGCTATTGAGAGGTCAAGGTTTACTACATCTACTTCTTCCTTGAAATTAGGGATGGTTGCCCACTTGTCTACCAAAGTCAGCACTCTGCTTATGCAAAAGTAGCCTTATATGATTACAGTTTAATAGGATATTAGTGTATTTATCTATGCTACTAAGATAATAAACCTATTTCACTACTGCTCATCTGCCATAATTTGTCCACCTAATCTACCGTAAGTTATGTGGAAGTTATATCACAGTCCATACTGAAATGTCCTTTCATAACTGTCAGCAGTAGGCTTTTCAGGAATTTTGAATAGCAAATTTTTGCTGAGGATTCAGTGGTATATGAATTACAAAAATTAGGGTACTTAGAAACCAATACCCATCTGACTGAGTCAGGTGATAAATGTGCTCGTGTTGACCATTTCTGACCTTCTTCTAAAGTTACACTAAAAGAGTAATTCTTTCCAGTTATTGTTGGTATAGCTTAAAAGCTCTAAAGGTTAGAAGCAAATAAAACTACAGACAGCCGCAACTGTTTGAAATTCCAACTCCTAAATTCAGTATAATTTACTGGCTCGCTGTTGTTGGTGCAAGCGAAGACTATGAAGATGTAATCACTTCTCGGAGTGGACAGGATTGAGAGGTTGTCGCTCAGTAATTTCTCGTTCATGAAGATGCAGTCATAGTCTGCTTAGTGTCTTGGTGTCTCATAACTGAGTTGCTAACTTTGCATTTTCTCATAATATTAATTCTTTCTGTTGAGAAGTTAACTTTAAGTCGTTTAAAATGAGTTTGTAAGTGAATCCGAGACAAACAGAGATGGATATTCCGTCCAGTAAACGACTGTCATGCTCAACTTCAACATTTGACTTTATGTAGATGACTTCAACTAGGCATCTTCAGGTGTTAGACGATCTCTGAGGATCCGAAGATATACTGGGGTCACTTATTGTGTAAAATAGCCTAACAAAGTTGTTTAATCTATAATCGCAAGATCGTTAATCCTGGATAAGTGCTACTGAGGAAAGAAATCAAGTTTAAAAATTCTGTTAACCATACAACTGAAAAGAAACGCACTCAGAAATATCCGCCCCATCGTCCCTGAATAAATTATCATAACGTGTCAGTCTAGATACATAACCAGAGTATGAATTCAGGGTACGTCCTACTTCACAATTCAGAAATAGCTTTCTTTTACAAACGGCCTGATTATATGAGCCGTCAATAGATCAGTAACCAGAAATACTAAAATTGATTCAGTCATTTATCCTTTTTTGAAGTCTACAGAGATGGAAGTCGTTTACATTATATATCAGCAACAATGAACCTTGGTAACGTAACACTCACGAAACACACCAACTTTTTACATAACACATTTCAGTCTGATAAATAGTTCCGTTATCCTGCTTCTATGCCAACATTTTCATCGCAAATGAATGATTCAGGTTAGGTGGTAATATAACGCATCATACGTAACACTAAGGTCTTGCTTGTATATTGGCTCGTCCGTTGTAACTTATATGGTTATTGAGAACAAACTATTATTATTACTATCAAAGCATTGTTTCAGTTCCCAAGTGATTTCTCAAGATTTTCAGTAGATTAAATTGTTGGTCTTTTGGCTGAACAGTTGGGCCCCAGTCTATGCTCTTTTTAACTTATTAGATGACCTTTGAAGTACATATTACTGCCGATGCATTGATTAATTTCACTATAAGACCTGGGCTATTACGCACTTTCGATGGTTACGTTCAGTTCTTTTAAGTCCAGCCGACTGAATTCTAGCTACTTCAAGTACTACTTTTT